TTGCTAGAAAAGAGCTAAGTTCTTTTGCCTAGAGACTGTGCACCTGAGATGGATGTTTCGTCTTGTTTCCCTCGAAAGCTGCCCCTCCATCTCCTCACTGATTTTAGTCAATAACTAGAGTCAAGTATCAGCTTGGCCCAAGCAAGGGAGGACCGTCCCTGCTGTGCAAACGGAGGGATTACTCACCAAAGTACTGGCAGTATCTGTCAGCAGGAATGAGGAGGACGTGTGTGGGGATGGATTTAAACTGTCTTGTACCGTAAAAGACAAAATATAAGATTAATTAGAAAGAGTTTATTGATCTATAGAGGGTGTGTTGTCTGTTGCTGCACAGCAAATTACCACATGTGTCGTGGCTTTAAAAAACATACATTTATTATCTCACAGTTTCTGGGGTCAGGAGTCCAGGGTGCAGCTTCGGTAGGTCTTCTGCTTCAGGATCTTTCATGGGCTGCAGTCAAAGTATCAGGCAGAGCTAAGTTCTCATCTGAAGGCTCAATTTTTTCAAGCGTGTGGAGTTAATGGCAGGATTCAGTTCCTTGTGTGTTGTTGGACGGAGGACCTTAGTTCTTTGCAGGCTGTTGGCCAAAGCCTGTCCTCAGTTCTTCGCTATGTGGGCCTCACCGTAATGGCAGCTTGCTTCATCACATCAGCAAGGGAGAGAGTCCGCTAGCAAGGGTGAAATCACTATCTTATGTGACCTATATAGACGAATGCCATCTCATCACCTTTGCTATGTTCCACCAGTTAGAGGCAAGTCATAGTTCCTGCCCACTCTCAAGGGAAGAGGATTACATAAAGGCGTAAATAGCAGGAGGCATGGATGACTGGGGACCTTGGAAGCTACTTACCACAGAGGCCCTCTCCTGAGACCCAGGACTTAAGATTCCTGGCAAAGGATACTTGTAACCAGTTTGATATTCTGCTGGGATGGCTCCTTGAAATTTGGAAGTGTGATGACTTAAATAAAATTATGTGGGTATGTTCGGACTGCCTGGCCAGAGAATTTGGGAGGGATTCAAAAGACTCAGGGAGCTGAGCATGTCAGAATGGGTATGTTGTATAAGCCCAGAGAATCAATCAGGAGACTTTGATGTTTGAGGAAGCCCAGAAGGTACACCCTTCAGGAAAACAGTTAAAAGAAAAAAAAGTGCTAGGGAGGTGGGACACTGGAATTGTTGAGTTCAGCGCTGAATGTCCTTGCTTGGTCAGGATTGAGTAGAAAATTCTGCTGTGGACTTGGATTCCCTTGTATCCAGGGATTTATAGGATTCTGGCCCAGCAGAAGCCTGGTATTGGCACTTCACTATTGCAGGCAAGTCAGTTGTAATTAAAGTAACTGGCAGCAAGGTCACATTGTAACCTGGGGACTTTGGCGCACATGGTTAATAGACCATGGTGTTCTTAGGAGAAAAAAATGGAATAGGTGGGAGGGCGATGTTCAGTTGTTTAACTTACATATACAAAAAGTTCTGGATTGAATAAGCGGAAGCCTGATGTTGGCAAACGTAATGGAAAAATCACAATCTTTCATCTGGTTTCCAGACTGGGGTTCGTTCTCCCAAGCAGAGCCTCCTGCTTGAAAAGAGACTGGGTCTCCTTGAGGAAGGACCTTCCCCTACAACACCACAGCGTGTGTTTGTAGTGTATATTCCCTCAGTTTTTCTCCAAAGGGACATATGGCCATTTACCAGGATAACTGTATCTGGGGACTGAGGAATATTGGATACAGGTTCTGAGCTGAGGCTTCTCCAAAACACCATCATGGCTTCCATAATAAAGTGGGGTCTGTGGAAGCCAGATGATAAATGGGGTCCTGCCCTAAGTCCATCACACAGTGAACATGTTTGTTTGTTTTTTAATCTTGTGTCATTTCTCTGGCCCCTAAATGCAAAATTGGATAAATATAATAAGCAGGTCCAGAACCTTCACACTGGTTCCCTGACCTGTGGAGAAAGCACTGTTACGACTGGAAAGGCCAAGTCAGATCCTGTGAAACTGTATCCCCCAGCTAAGATTAGTCGCAATTCATTCTAGTGGAATGGTAGAGACAAGGGTCCCCTTAGAGAATTAAAGGATGCTGGGCAATGGGCTGAGTTATAGCTCTCCAACTTCAGAAGTCTGGTTTATGCGAAATCAAACGGATGAAAACAGGCCATTGTGGGCTACTGTAAACTTTAAAAACAGAGCTCCAGTGACAGCTGCAATGTCAGATGTGGTATCACTGCAGGACAGATAAGCATCATCTCTGGCACTTGGGTTGTGGCTATTGAAATGATTAATGCTAATTTTTTTTCCTGTCAGAAAAAAAGACCAAGAGCAGTTTATCTTTACTTGGATGGACAGCAATACACATTCACACTTTTACTCCGGAATTCTATTAACTTCCTACTGTCTGCTATAATATGGGTACCTTGGTCATCCTGACATTTCCTAGGACAGAATGCTGGTCCATATATTGATGATATTGTGTTAATTGGACCTGGTGAGCAGGGAATGGCAAGCATTCTAGATGTTCTAGTAAGATATGTGCTCAATACAAATATTTAGGAGACTGCCACATCAATGAAGTTTTTAGGGGTTTAGTGGTCTGGGGCATGTTGGCGTATCTTTTCCAAGGTAAAGGTAAAGATAAAGTCATTGTACTTTGAACAACTTACCACTGGACAAGTGGCACAGTGCTTGGAAGACCTTGGATTTTGGAGGCAGCATTTACTAGACTTGGAAATGACATATTACATTTTTGGATAACTCAAAAAGATGGCAGTTTTGTGTGGTATCCAGAGCAAAACCAGACTTCTGTAACAGTTTCAAACTTTGGCTTGAGCTGTCTTGCTACGACTCAGTTGTGCCCCCTCCAGATTAATATACTGATGCCCTACATCCTTCCCCTCAAGTGACTGTACTGGGGAGAAGGCCTCTAAGGAGGTGATTCAGGTTAAATAAGGTCATTAAGGACTCTGAGTGTGGTCTGGTGAGCGTCGGGGAAGAGGATTCTGGAGCAAGGCTACACCATCTGTAGCAGAAAACTTTTTTTTTTGAACAGGACATGAGCACTATGGAAACCCAGTACTTGACCATGAAACACCGAGAAGCTAGGGGACCAGAGTTTCCCATTATGACTTACGCATTGGCAGACCCACAAATTATGTATTTGAGTGGGTGTAGCAGCAATCCATCATACAATGAAAATAGCACAGCTGAGGTTGGACCCAACTTGGTCCAGAGGGCTTACAATACAGAAAAAGGTGGTTTATCCTCCCTGTCAACTACTTCGGATACACTTTAGATTGGACCTGCAGCCTCACGAGTCGGGGAGTTCCTATGTCTAGATTTTGGAGGGAAAAAATAACACGCAGGTGTGGCTCGCAGATTAGATAGCCCAACTTGTTTTTGTGAGCTAAAGGTAGCCTGTTGTCCAGCTAAAACTTCACTCAGGAGTTCTTTAGAAAAACACAGCTGAGGGAACATACTGTCAGTGGGTGGAGCCACAAGCAGTACACTTGGTCATTTTGTGTGAAAGGAAAAGTGATGAGGTAAAGATAGACATGGACTCTTGAGCAGTGGCACATCTCTTGGCTGGTTGGTCAGGGACAAGCGTGGAATATTTGACTCAGGAGGTCCGGAAAAGAGCCATTTGAAAGAACCAATGGATGTGAACACAGAATGTCTGTGCCCATAAGAGTGTTTGACACAGAGGGAGTGTTGAGGAGTTAGGGGACAGGATGACTGGTTCTCTGGATGTCAGCCAGCTCCTGTCCTCAGCTCCTCAGTGCCTGTGTGATGGCTAATGAGGTGGTGATTGATGCTCTGATGCTCCTCTTACCTGAAGTGATTTAGATATTGCAGCTGCCAGCCTCTCAACAACAGGGACTCACACTGAGACCTCAGCAGGGTACCGTCTCTCAAGGAGAACATTGGGTAGAATAACGATTACACTGAACCCTTTTGGTGCTTGACGGGGGCAATATCTTTTCTTTATTGAGGTTGATACTTATTCTAGGGGTGGATCTCTCTCTCCTGCTTACAGTGTCTTGGTCAGCATCACCACCTGAGAGCTCACAGAGTGTCTGACTTCTATCTCCTTAGATCAATGGAGTCTTTTTTTTTAATGAAAGTGTTGCCATAGTGGGCACATGATCAAGGAGCTTATTGGCTTTCCATTAATTGCATCATCAGGAAACTGCTGGCCATATAACACTCAGGAAAAAAACCTCATAAATGAGCAGCTAAGGAGGTAAGTTGGGGATCAGACTCTTGAGGGTTATGGTGATGTCCTTCAAGATGTGGCACCTATTTTGAAACAATGGCTATTCAGTGGTGCTTTGTCCTTGACAGCTACAGTAGGCTGGCCTAGGAGCCCAGGGGTCGCAGTGGCCTCTCTTATCATCACTTCTAGTTGTGGAAGTGCTGGGTCGTAAGGCACGTACAGAAGTAACTCGATTGAGACATGTCAGATGGCTCTCCAGACGGTTGTACCTATTTATACCCTCCCTGCTAGCAGTGCTGGATGGCCCCATGACCCCTCCCTCCCCACTAACAGTTGCTATTGCCCAGCTTTCTGAGTTTTGTCTCACTGTGAGGAAACACAAGAGCGTGGGCACAGGAAAGGAACGTCGGGTTAGGAGCCTAGCAAGTCTGAGATGCTGTGGGTCTTTTCCTTGCCCCCCATCAGAGAGGAGCAAGATGTACAGTTTTAGGACTTCAGATTAGTTGAGCTTTTGGGTGGGAGGTAATTGGACTAAAACAGGAGGTGAACTTGGAATCTTTGTTCAATTCTACCCTCAATTTTAGCCCTGGGGACAATTCTCTCTTTGGACATTTTCCTTCCTGGGTTAAATGGTGAGGAGAATTCCTGTCTTCTCTCTCTCCTCATTTGCTAGGGAGTGAATGCTCATGTATCATATCTAAGAAAGATTGTTGAAAGACTGGTGCTTTAGGACCCGGGGTGTCTGAGCAGATTCAGCACTATGTTTTGGGGAAAGAACACAGATAGGACATTGAGAAGCCAGTAGGGAGTTTATTTTACTGTCTACACAGATGCCCACAAACTCAGAGACAGCAGACTTTCCAGATCAGGGTGTTATGTTGACATTGTCCACAACAAAGACTTTGTCACCAGTGACGGGGTACAGTGCCACATCAGGAGGGCATATGTTCTCCTCGGACACAACTTGAGCCAACCCTATTATGGTCGCATTTTCTGGAGAGGAGAAGCGAAGCTGTGTCAGGCAGTTGGATTCCACTCCGCCTCCCTTCTGGCCCTCTCCCCCAGGCTCCATTCCCGCACCGTCTTATCCCGCCTTTTCCTGTGTCTGACACTTGGCTCCATTTCCCAGTCTCGTGTACAAGGCACAGCTGTCACCCCCCGATCTCCCTCCCCCGACGTTGAACCCCTTGCCCACACTTCCTCTACATCTTGCGTTTCATTCTTACTCCAATGCCTTATTCCTTTTGCTTCCTGCCATGTCTTGGTTTCCCCTTTTTGGTTTGACCTCTCCTAACATTCCCCCTTATCTGCCATTAATGCTCCAGTAGGAGGTATGTTTGCTTACCAAACGTTTGTATGTCCCAGAAGAAGTTTCTTGTACTACACAGACAGCTGGTGGAAGCAAAATTACCAAAAGGAAACACAACGTTTGGGGTGGCCTGGATGGTGGTTTTAATCTGACGAGAAGGTGGGGAAGGGTTAAAGAGAATAGATCTGGTTAAGGCAGGCTTGGAGTAAGAATTAAGCAAAATAAACATGTTTCAGGTCACCACAGGAAGGGGGTACCAGGGGTTTCGCCTTAGCCATCACCCCTTAACACATTTAGCGCCGTGCTTGACTTTAGCCAGCTTTTTTGTGATTCTCTTCATCTGTCGTGTTCAACTTAAACCTGCATTGTTAAAAAGATGTTTTCTTGGGAGGTGTGAATGACAAAGTCCAGAACTTTGGTTTGAAGGTGTCTCTGGAGTGGGAGTTAACACACCTGTGAGGGTCTGATTAGCATTTCACTCATCAACTGACTTGTGAAATGGATTGTTAAGTTTTCTATTTTTAGCAGTAGAAGAGTCAGGGGGTCACTATTGTTGGACTGTATTTAGTTCTGGACTGAAGTTCCAAAATTGGAGTGTGTAGGAAATGATTTAAATAACTTCTCTGTGAACCAAGAGGGTTATCTTGGTCTACTCTGATGTGGTGGGGGAAAAAAAAAGCAACCCAGCAAACAAACAAAACAGGGTTTAATGTCCCAAGTATCCTGCTTTCCAGCTTTGTGACATGGTATTTATCCCTCTGAGCTTCTCTTTTACCTAAGATCGAAGTATTGATACTTACCTGTCTAATATGTATGAGTTCTTGAGTTTTTGTGCTTTGTGGATAATAAAGATCTTCATAAATGTGAAGTGCCATGTTTACTGTACAAATAAACACACGTGGAATCTGAAAGCACTTGGCCAACTACTACTTAGTGCCGTTTTCCTCAGCGAATAGACTTATAAAACGTTTAATTAGGTAGAAGATGTAAGTAATGACTGAGATTCTCAGAGAGGAGAAGAAATCTGCTGAAGCCAGACCTGAGAAGAGAAAGTATCAGGACCTTGCTGAAACAGCATCAAAGAAGATCTCTGGAAAGGGGACTTCTCGAAAGCATTTCTAGCATCTAATATATTTGAATAAACATCAGATACTATATGTATTTTTCTTAGGGTGTTTGGTAACTTTGCAGCTTTCCCTTCTGTTTGCATCTGTTCTCTAAAAACCCTAAGGAGGTCTCGAAGGAATTGGGGATTGAAATGAAAGATAGTGAAGTAGGTGGTAGATTGAGGTTCTGAAGGCTGCGTGAACACAGCAGGGAAAGGTGATGGAAGCAGTGACTGAGAAAGCCCAGTTCTTGTCTGCTGGTAAATTTCCCAAATGGAGGGAGATGAGGATTACCACATTCTTGCAGCTTCTCTGACATCTGCCATGGCCTATGGAGTGGGGTCTCCCTGGCTCAACCTCATCACTGCACGAGCTGGTGGCAGGAGGGCGGATGGCTCAATTCCAGGAAAGCTCTCCGATCACTGTCACTCAGTCTTACCCATCTTTGTTTTTATCCCCATTCTCCCCACTTTTGTCTCTTCTCCCCTCCCCGATGAATTGAAGAGTCCTGGCATGATTAAAACCTCTACTCACTTATCCCCTCCATATCACCACTTCTCCATCTTTAAAATGGAAATAACAATACACACATTCCTCACAGAGCTGCTCTGAGCTTCAAGGCTAATGTATGCAGAAGCATTTGTAGGTGACTTATTTGTAAGGTGTTGTTTCACATCACATCAGTAATGACTGCTGAAGTTACTTACTACGCTATTTCTCTTCTCTTTCCCCAATTGCCATAACCCCCAATTCTTCACTTACCACCATGTATGGGGTCTCGTGATTTGTAACTGAGAATGTTACCAGATAGTTCGTCGGGACTCCATTTGGAATAATTGTCAGGTTTGCTGAGATTATGTTTCGTCTAGATATGGCAAAAGAGGGAGATACTCAAAGTCAGATAAAAGTCCAGGACTGAGGTAACCTGGGAGGGAAGATGGATTCAGGAGAGGCAGAGAGAGCCGTGGGATGCAAGGAGTGGGGAAGACATGGAAGCATCAGTATCATCACTTGGAAGAACCCCCTTTGCATGACACACACCTAAGGGCTCTGTGCGTCCTATCCGGATAAGAAGAGGCAAGTGGAGGCTAGAGTGAAGGAGGTCATATATTTTGTCAGCTAAATGAGGGCAGAGAACCGGGCTGGAAGATCTGCTTTCCCTTCATCACAGATTCCTGGCTAAATCTCCCTGGTTCTGTTTTGGGCAGGAAGTGATTTGATTGCATGGTCTGCGTTAGCCTGGGATGCTCTCCCTTCCATCCCATTTTTCTTGTGGAATCATTTCAGAATCCAGGGAAGCTCCTTTTTGGACACTAGTAGAGCTGGTGGAAGGATACGTAGCCCTAAGAATTTGAGAAACTGCGTCATGAATTAAGGTTTAATATGATGATCAAATTAGCTCAGCTCTGTTCATCAACTCACTGTTCCTCGGGCCTGAACTGAAGGGAAACTAGTACTAGTTAGTTAACCCAAAGGGGTTGACTCCCAGTTTACCCCATACGTAGCCTCTACCCTCTTTGCCTCTCTTCTCCTTAGAGAAATCCTCAAGCTTGGCAGGTATCCCTTCACCAAAATCTACATGGCTTCATTCCCATCTGCTAGATACTCCTTTCTCCATATTCTTTCTGCTCCATGTCTCCCAGGGAACTCCTGACTTCCTTCTGGAACTCAGTTCTTTCCTCTTGGCTAAGCCATGGTCCCCCTTCAATGCCTCTCCACTCGCAAGGATAATGGTAGAACTGGAGACCATCTTTATCACGTCATGGACTTGCTTACAGGAACAGGTCGAGGAAAAGGCAGGGTCCAGGAGCATTTTTCTACCTTTGCTTGATTAGAGAAACATGCTCGATCTTGGAGACTCTGAGCTCCAGGGTATGAGGCAGATCTTAAGAAGGTGAGCACTGTTTCTAATAAAGTCACAGGGATCATCTGAGCTGGTGGATGAGCACAACCTTGTATGCTGGGTAGGGTCACGGCCATGGCCCCCCTCGTGTAGCTCGGGCATCTTATCTAAAGCTTGTCCCACAGCTATTGACCAAGATCACATTCCTGCTTCTGCTTCTCTTTTAGGGGACAAGGATGAGAATTATAAACTCAGGGTAGAAAACTGAGTTATAACACAAAAGAGCTGTAGGTCATGAATTCAGTAACCTCTACAATAGGTTCTGAATAGGGAAGAGTGAGACCAAGGGACACAAACAGTGAGGACTCCTGGGATGGATCCTCTTGGGGCAGGAAAATAGTCTCTAGGTTCAGAACGTGGGTTTCTGGGTTGGGAAAAGTGTCCTCCCTGGGAGATCTTCTGTAGGGAAGGAAGAGAGACGACTTATGGCAGTTCTTGAGCTGCACCAGTCCCCAGTCTCAGGCAGAGAATCAGGAGCAGGGCAGCGGGGCTGGTCTTGAGCAGAAGCTGAAGAGCACGCATGTTGGAGGAATTTGATACTCGCACACAGGAGGACTGTGTACTCACAGGGACCAGGATAACTCTTTATAATGGTAGCAGGTGGACGGACCCTGGAGCTGTTTGGGCAGGTTCACTCAGCCAAAACTGTCATACCTTGGGATTTCCCTCATTGCCACCTTGTTTGTTTCTTTGTGGGAAAAGTCAACATTTAGCTGGAATTTTAAATTTTGGTAGAGAGAGGAAGGAATAAATTGGATCACTTCCCCTTGTTTCTCAATGTTAGGTTAGAAGGTTCCTGGATCATAAGGATAGATCTTAACTGTTGTAAAGAGCATCATATTCTTTTCTAAGTCTTACTTTCTTTTTTTCTTTCTTTTTAAATTGAAGTACAATCAGTTGCAGTGTGTCAGTTTCTGGTGCACAGCACAATGTCCCAGTCATGCATATACATACATGTATTCGTTTTCATATTCTTTTTCATTAAAGGCTATTACAAGATATTGAATATAGTTTCCTGTGCTATACAGAAGAAAAAATTTTAATTGATTTTTATATATAGTGGCTAACATTTGCGAATCTCGAATTGTCAAATTTAATCCCTTCCCACTCCCTTACCCCCTGGTAACCATAAGATTTTTACTATGTCTGTGAGTCTGTTTCTGTTTTTTAGATGAGTTCATTAGTGTCTTCTCTTCTCTTTTTTTCAGATTCCATTTATGAGTGATATCATATGGTATTTTTCTTTCTCTTTCTGACTTACTTCACTTAGAATGATGATATCTAGTTCCATCCATGTTGCAGCAAATGGCATTATTTTATTCTTTTTTATGGCAGAGTAGTATTCCATTGTATAAATATACCACATCTTTATCTAGTCATCTGTCAATGGACATTTAGGTTGTTTCTATGTCTTGGCTATTGTATATAGTGCTGCTATGAATATTGGGGTGTATGTGTATTTTCAAATTAGGGTTCCCTCTGGATATATGCCCAGAAGTGGGATTGCTAGATCATATGGTAAGTCTATTTTTAGTTTTTTAAGGACTCTCCATACTTTTTTCTGTAATGGTTACACCAAATTACATTCCCACCAGCAGTGCAGGAGGGTTCCCTTTTCTCCACACCCTCTCCAGTATTTATTGTTTGTAAACTTTTGAATGATGGCCATTCTGACTGTTGTGAGGTGGTACCTCACTGTAGTTTTGATTTGCATTTCTCTGATAATTAATGATATTAAGTATTTTTTCCTGTGCCTGTTGGCCATTTGTATGTCTTCACTGGAGAATTGCTTGTTTAGGTCCTCTGCCCATTTTTGGACTGGGTTGTTTATTTTTTTTCTTATTAAGTTGTTTGAGCTGTCAATATAGTCTGGAAATTAAGCCTTTGTCAGTTGCATCATTTGCAAATATTTTCTCCCATTCCGTAGGTTGTCTTCTTGTTTTGCTTATGATTTCCTTGCCTGTGTAAAAGCTTGTAAGTTTAATTAGGTCCCATTTGTTAATTTTTGCTTTTATTTCTATTGCTTGGGTAGACTGCCCTAGGAGAACATTGCTAAGATTTATGTCGGAGAATGTTTTGCCTATGTTTTCTTGTAGGAGGTTTATCATGTCTTGTCTTAAATTTAGGTCTTTAAGCCATTTTGAGTTTATTTTCGTGCATGGTATGAAGGAGTGTTCTAATTTCATTGATGTACATGCAGCTGTCTGGTTATCCCAACACTTGAAGGGAATTCAGTTGTGGGGGCAGATGTCAGATCCCATCTTTGAGGGACCTTTGTGATTATCTCCAATTATCTGCAGAAGCGGACATGGTCTGAAGAACCACTTAGAAAGTTAGGGTGACTAAGGAACTCATGGAATTTCCTGTCTACCATCCAAATGGGCGAACCAGGGAAGAGCTGAGGGTTCTGGCTTCAGATTAGGAGTTGACGTTCAAGAGTGAATGAGCTGAGAATGCTGAACTCTTACCCCTGTAGAATATCTGAGAGAACCAGAGTGCCGGAACTAAACAGGACCTTGAGACGCCTTAAGGCTAGAGCAGGCCCGGGGAGGTTGCTTTCATCTGTTCATCTCAATTTCATGCAGTATTGTCTGTGGATTGGGAGGGGCGACTCTCAAACTCCCCGTGCTGTGCAGCTGGTCTTCTCTTCCTGGCTCACTCTGCCTTTCATCTCTGTTTTCTCAAAACTCATTAAATTTCTTTCTCTTTCCCCCCTTCCTTCCATTAATTTAGTTATTTTCAATTAAATAATATATTCTCATAGTGAAAAAAACAAAATTATGTAAAGGATGGACACTGAAGCTTAAGGCCTCAGCTCACTCAGCCTCCTCCATACTCCCTAGGGAGTCACTTTTACTAGAATTGTGTATCCTAGTGTTTCTTTAAGCCAGTGCTTTCTCAAACAATGAATCATATCGTGTACCTAATCTTCTGACAGAGGGTTTATTGTGTACTGTCTCTGCCTCACTGTTTTTATTTAACACTATGATCTGGAGAGCTTTCAATGTCACGCATAAGACTACCTTCAGTCTGTCTAAAGCTGGGTATTTAGTTGTGTATATGAACCGTAATTTATTCAATCAGTTTTTTTTTCTAACTGGTAAACAATATGATACTTCCCAAACTTTTACTATTGCAAATAGTGTTGTAATGAATAACACTTTCCATTGATCATTTGTCATTCTTTAGGTTTATCTGTAGGATAAATTCCAAGAAATAGAATTGCTGGATCAAAGAGAAATACATTTGTAAACTTGACGGGCATTGCAGAACTGGTCTCCGTAGTGGAATACTGTTTTTGCACATCAAGAGATGTCTGAGGAGGCCTCCCCACCCCACCAAGTCTCACCAACAGAGAATGTTATGTCTTTTGATAGTTTGTCAGTTAGATAGGTGAAAATATTATCCGAGTATAGTTTAAGTTTTCATTGTTCTTATTAAGAGTGAAGTCTCTTGATATGCTTGTATATACACACACACACATATATATATATATATTTTTCTTTCAACTAGACTTTTGGCTGTGCCTTCTGAAGTTAGTTTTAGCAACCTGTTCCAAGACAGAAATAGCTGATTCAAAGCAATATTTTAATGTTCTTTAAAAAAAAACCTACTATTTTTGAAGTAGTACATTTTGAAGTGCACATTTTCTTGGTTCAAATAAGGTTGCTGCTTTCTCCCCTACTATTTACCTTAAGAATTTTTGTAAGATTTAAGAGTTTTAAACACTTGTAAATCAGTTCTTGATAAATTACATGAGGAATGAAGAAAATGGAAAAATGTAAAAACCAGTGAGTTCAAATATTGTATTAGTTAAGTAAATAACTTAAAAATACTTCTTCTTTAAAGTTCTCTCTATTTAAATACATTCTTGTCCGTATATATAACATTTCTGGATTGGCAGCTTCTCTTTTAGAACTTTGAAAATATTAAACCATTTTCTTCTGGCTTCTGTTACTTCTCTTTTCAAATTAGTTATTATTTTTATGGTTGGCCACTTGAAGGTAAAATGGCTTCCCCCCCCGATTATGCTTAAAACATTCTCTTTATCTCTGGTTCTCAGTAGGCACACACTGTAATGTGCTAAACGTGATTTTCTTTACATTTTATCCTGACTCACATTTTAGTTCTTTTGCTTTTCTGATTTTATGTCTCTTGTCAGTTTTGGAAAATTCTAAACCAGTAAATCTTTAAATGTTACTTCTTTTGCATTCATTGTCACTTCTCCTTCTGAGACACTTATTATAAACATTCTACCGCTCTTCACCATATCCCATTTGTCTCTTATTTTCTTTTTTGTGTTATCTATCTTTCTTTTCTCTGTAATTCATTATAATTTTTTTTTCTAATTTACTTTCAGTTTCACTAATTCTCTCCTTATCTGTGTCAAAGTTGCTATTAAACCTGTTCATTGGGTTCGTAATTCCATTTATTATAATTTTATTTCTAGAATTTTCACTTGCTTCTTTTTTGGGGGCAACTTTATTTTGACATAAATTCAAAGAACTGAAAAATATAACTTGAAAAATAGAAGTCATTTATACCTCAATTTCTTCACCTCACAGCCAGCAGATGGTCACAGTAATCAGTTCCTTATAAATTCTTCCAGAAGTTTCCCATGTATCCATTTTTCTTGTCCTTGACCATTCACCCTGGAATGAGTCATCACTAATCATCTCTTCTTATGAAACTATTTTTAGTCTATCAGTTATCATTAATTAATCCAGAAATCCTTGCTCCATCCCTACTGGTTTTACCTCTTGGATTTATGAAAAATTTCTCTCTCATAGTAAACTTCATATTTTAGATTTTATTTGTTTTCTTCTTTCCTGTATTTCTGACATTGCCCTTTATTAACCCAAACCAGTAAGTTGACTTGTTCTTTTCAGAGCTACCCATTTCCAAATGCTATTTCATGTTGTCCTTCCAAAATGAGTAAGTGCGTTTTATTATAAGAATGACTTTCAAAAACCACATTTCCCTCATAGATTGTTCCTATTGCATCTGCTCAGTAAACTTTCCCCTGAAGTAGAAAATGTCTGGCTAAGAGATACAGGAAGCAAAATGATAACACAGGCTGGTACCAGCTGTTACCAGTTCTGTAGCAGAACTATGATCTTTAAAAAATCCAATCATCTACTCATTGTTACCCATCTGTACATCTTAATTAATTCACGCAATTAAACACAAATATTTATTGGGCATCTGTTATGTTTAGAAACACTTGATGGCCTTAAATTTTATTATAAAAGTATGAAAACCTATTGACTTGGCAGTCATGACTAGGAAAGTAAATTACATTGTTTATTTTGGATTGACTAAAAGAAAATTCAGTTTCTTCCTTTGGCTTTGTTTTTAGAATATAGAGACAGTCTCTAATTTGGGACAAGAAAAAGTCAAATGCCAAAGTGTTTGAAGTTGTTTACGTATAAACAAACTGCTAGAGGTAAAGGAAGTTATACCAAGCATTTTGAGGACAGGCTCGAGTAAATCAGGAGATCTGCTCTGCTAGGAAAGCTCACTCTGAGGAAGAAAAATTAGCATTGTGGATTTTCTCAATCGAAATATCTAAAACTAAGGCAAAGTTTCTAATAATGAGAGCAAAAATAGACTTATGTGTATAATGGCAAAAACCAAGGGCAAAGAGAGGTCTGTGATAGTTCATGGAAAAATGCAGATAATCCCACAGCAGATGAGGAAGTAGTTGCTTCCTGGGCTATTCGCTTTGCATGAGAATAGAAGCTGAATTCTTGGGAAAAAGTCATGTGGTCCAACTTCCTCGTCACTTCTGTGACACTCTTCATTACCCATCTATGACATGCAGAATCATGGGTCCTTCAAGATATCCAGGCTCTAGTCCCAGGAACCTGTGAATATGTTACCCTGCGTGGAAAAAGGGACTTAGCAGATGTAATTAAGATTGTAGAACTTGAGGTGGGGAGATTATTCTGGGTTATCTGGGTGGGCCCAGTTTAATCACATGAGTCCTTAAGAGCTGAGAACTATTCCTGGCTCTGTGGAGGGAGGGAGAGGCAGAGAGAGAAGGATAATATCCAGGTTCAGGTTCTAGTTCTTATATTTGTGGCTTGATGTGGTTCTGAGATGGAGGCGCCTGTGTGAATTCTGCCAACAACAGAAATGAACGAGGCAGTGGGTTCTCCCCTGGATCCTCTAGAAAGGAACACAGTCCTCCTGGTGTCTTGATTTTAGTGCAGTGAGATATGTGTTCAAGATTTGACCCACAGAACTATAAGCTAATAAATTTGTGTTATTTTAAGCCCTGTGGTTTTGAGAATTTGTTAGGGTAGCAATAGAAAACTGAGACACTGTCTGAGTCTAATAATGTTTTAAAAAGCCCAACATCTGTGCTGAAGGAATCTCAATAGATATATCAGTAGCTAGATTCCAGTGAGCTTGAAAACTGTATCTGGTGGCACATAGTATTGACTCACAGATCCATCTTCTTTCAGAGATCTGCTCACCTCTTCATTCATTGATACATAGATTCGTTCATTCATTCACTCATTCAGCTCGACATTCATTGAAAACCAGGTACGCTGCAGACGTGGAGTAAACTTACCTAAGCCATGTTTCGTCTCTCAAGTGTATGTAGTATTTAGCCTTACCTGGTGAGGATCTTGATTCCAGAGTTAATTAATCTCAGTAATTAATAATATGTAACCATTATTTCTTATGGCATGGGAAGCAAGACTAAAAAGATGGTTCCATCTCCAAGATTATACATAATTAAATACAATTAGACAGTGAATGAGCCAGAACCTTGTCATGTTTGCATAGATGATCGATACAAATGATAGTGACGCATAGGATTAGCCAAAGAGTCCAACCACCAAATCATTTTTTTAAATGACTGGTATTACAGTTTGCTTTCCTTTTCTTTAAATTAACAGCCTCAGATTACTGCAGTTGTTGGGAAGCAACGGACTGATTGGGTTAGCATTATTTTGAACAACTGCCACAGTAATGTGGCTATACTTGGTCAGAAATTAGATGTATTCCTAACATCTTAGGAATATAGATCCAAGATCTGCTCTGAAAATAATGATAATTTTCAATGAGAGTCACCTGAGGATAATCATTTAGGGTACAGATTAATAGCATATTGACTTTTCTCACCTAGAACATTGCTTGGAATATATTTGGCTTGTCTGGGAAACTTTATTTTTCCTTCAGTTCTGAATGATAACCTTGCCAGACAGAGTATTCTTGGTTCTAAGTTTTTCCTTTCAGTACTTTGAATATGTCATAACACTCCCTGTCTGTTCTGTAAAGTTTCTATTGGAAAGTCAGCTGCTAGTCTTACGGGAATTCCTCGCTATGTAACTGTTTGTTTTTCTCTTACTGCTTTTAAGATTCTCTCTCTAACGTTTGACATTTTAATTACAATGTGCCTTAGTGTGGACTTCTTTGGGCTCATCTTGTTTGGGATACTCTGTTTCCTGGATTTGAATGTTTGAATATCTGTTTCCTTTGCCAGGTTAGAGAAGTTTTTAGCCATTCTTCTTTCAAATAGGTCTTCTGTCCCTTTCTCAGCTCTCTTCTCTTTCTGGGACCCCCTGTAAGGAAAATGTTAGTACATTTGAGGTTGTCCCAGAAGTCCCTTAAACTGTCTTCATTTTTGTTTTTTTTTTTCTTTTTGCTCTTCTGATTGAGGGATTTCCACTAGTCTGTCTTCCAGGTTACTAATCCCTTCTGCATCATCTAATCTGCCATTGATTCCCTGTAGTGTGTTTATTTCTGTTGTTATATTCTTCAGCTCTGATTGGTTCTTTTTTATATTTTCTATCTCTTTGTTGAACTTCTCACTTTATTCTTCTAAGTTTGGTGAATGAGCAAATTTATGACCATTACTTTGAATTCTTTACCTGGAAGTTGAATCATCTTTGTTTAGTTTTGTTCTTTTCCTGAGGTTTTGTCCTGTTCTTTTGTTTGGAATATATTCCTTTGTCTCCTCATTTTGCCTAACTCTCTGTGTTTGTTCCTATGTGTTAGGCGATCAGCTACAACTCTTAGTCTTGAAAGAGTGGCTTTGTGTAGAAAAGTGTCCTTTGAGGCTCAGTAGCACAGTGTCCCCCTGGTCACCAGAGCCAGGCACCACTCTAGGAGCATCCCCCGTGTGGGCTGTGTGTGCCTTCCTGCTGTGACTGAGCTGTGCTTTATTCAGGTGTGCGGGTCTGCAGGGCTGGCCCCTGGTGTAGCTGGCTACAAGGCTTGGCAGCAACTGTTGTGGGCTGCTTTGGGGAGATGCTGGTGCCAACAGAGAATGCCTGTCAAGATTGGCAGACCAGGGGGCCACTTTGTAGGGGCTCTGTTGTTAACTGAGGGTGTCTGCTGAGTATGGTGGGATGGATGACTGCCTTAGAGGACCTCTGGTGCCAGCTGAGGGTACCCGTCTGTGCTGGAGGGGCAGGGCGTCACTTTGGAGGGGCTCTGGTGCTGGCCAAGGATGCTTTCTGGGATTGGTGGGGCACAGGCCTGCTTTGGAGGGTCTCCACCAGCATTGGCTGAGGGTGCCTGCTGGAACTGTCAGGGTGGCCAGCTGCTTTGAAGGGGCTCTGGTGCAGGTCTGAAGTGGCTGCCAGGTCTTGCAGGGGTTACCTTGGAGGGGCTCTGCTGCTGGCTGAAGATGCTGGCTGGGACTGGGGGGTTGGAGGGCTGCTCTGGAGGAGTGCCAGCTGTGCTGAGTCCGCTGGTGAGCCCAGGGTGGGGCAAAGCAGTGCTAGTAAGTTAGATGGCAAGAGTCAGAAATGTGCCATCAGTGCTGGGCCGGCCAGGTAGAGTGTGAGGTACAAAACACAAACACAAACAAAAAGACTATCAAAGTGGTGCCTGCCAGCTTCTCTGGACCCTAAGAAAGTTCTAGCGGATCTCCGCTGCTCTGGCACATGCCTTAAAATTAGTCAAGGAATCTCCTTCAGGTACAACCCAGGAGCTTTTCAAGCCGCCGCTTCTGCACTGGGACTTGCAGGGGAGTGAGTTTTGGCAGGTGCCCTTTAAGAGCAGATTCTCAGTTTCCCACAGCCCTCTGTCTCTCCCAGGCATCAGCACAACTGGTTTCAAAGCCAGATGTTAGGGGAGCTTATCTTCCTGGCGCAGGTCCCCTGTGCTGGGGAGCCTGATGTGGTGTTTGAAGCTCTCGCTCCATGGGTAAGACCTCCCAGACTGTGATAGCCTTTCCACCTACAGGTCCGCAGGGTTGGGGGAGTGGGTCCCAGCCAGACTGCATCTCCGCCCCTCCTATCCATCTCAATGCGGCTTTTCCCTTTTATCTTTAGTTGTGGAAAATCTTTTCTGCTAGTCTTCAGGTCGTTCTCAGAGATAGTTTCTTTATATGTAGTAATTTTGGTGTGTCCCTGGGAGGAGCCAGCCCAGGACCTTCCCACCCTGCCATCTGTCCCGCTCCCTGAGTTCATCTTTTTCACATTTTACATATAAATGAGATGTGATATCTTTCTTTCTCTGTCTGACTTATTTCACTTAGTATATTGCCTTCAGGTTTCTTCTTTGTTGTTGCAAATGGCAGAATTTCCTTCTTTCTCATGACTAATATTCATATATGTGTGTGTGTGTGTGTGTGTATGACTTGTGGTTGTTTTTAATAGAGCATGTGATAAAGCACGTAAATTAAAATATTTAGCTCATTTTTCGCACACGTTAAGCATATAATCATTGAATCATGGCTACTGCTCGAATTAATGTATCAAGTGATCCTTCTCAATGATTGTGTTTCCCTGCTCTGGATTTGGATACCCATTTAGGATCAGAGGATATGGTCCTACATTCTTGTCCGGAGACACTGATTTTGTTCCTGTCTCCTTGTCAGCATCCTTTCCAGCCTTCCTGGCTTGCCCTGAATCCTGCCCAATATCAGAGTGCTTACCTGCCCTGAACTTGTGTTGCTGTTTCATGGTTTGGGCTCTTGGCAGCTGCAATTCTATCTGCCCAAATGCCCTCTGCCCACTTTGTGCCCCTTGTCTCAGGAAGCGCTCTCTGGCTCTCTTTGGTGGAGCCCCTCTGGGCCGCTTCTGCTTTTCAGCTTCTTATGCCTCCCACGCAGCACAATGTGCCCAAACATCACTTAGTCTGTCATTTTTCACTGGTTGAAAAGAAGCAACTGAATAGAATAGAATACTGTTGTTTATTCCGGGGACCCTCGGACTCAGACTCGGCCCCTGACTCTGCTGTGCGCAGGGTGACTCCCATCTCCTGGGATCTGGAGGACCAGGGAGTTGGGAACCTTGGGTGCTATACAGGCTCTGCCCCTCGATTGCTGTGAATTTTAGGGCCACCCTGTCTGGGAGAGTGACCCCTCTCTTCTCTGTTTCTTCTTCTCTCCCTCCTTATGGACAGTGAGAACCCATAAACTGAGCAAAGGCCCTCTGGAAGAACAAAGTTCTAAAGATTCTGGCTATTCTGAGGCTCCTCTGGGTTAGATTTTGGAGGGAAGACATAGCAGAACACAGAGAAGCTGATGAGAACTTTATTTTACAGACCATAGCAGATACCCCAGCCAACTTTCCTTGGAGGAAACCACCTGGGGCAGGGGTGGATGCCGAGAGACAAAGACTTCCACTAAAATCAGCCAATGGTCAAGGTCTTAGTGACAGAAAAGCGGTTTGCTTCAATGGGTATCACCGCCTTATCCTCGGGGCAGATATTCAGTACTCGAACAACATCGATCACTGTTGTTATTTTTGCGGTGCCTGAAAGAGACAAGGAAGGACAAAGATCATCTGTGGTAACACCCTAACTCCCAATTCCCTAACTTTTCTACTACAATCGGGCACCTCCCCACTGAGGTTCAGTTTCCCCAAATCATTTGCAAATATACCTCCGTTAGTAGCTTTCCTCACAAACCCCTCACGTTTTGAACCTGGGCATAGTCCCTGTGCTCGCTCCACCTCTGCTTCCCTCCCTCCCCCTCTGCTCATCCACCCTGAGCTTCTGATTCAGATCTGGAGCCACATTTCTTTCTGTTTTCCCTCCCTGGTTGATAGTTCTTCCTTTGGATGACTCCTATACTTACTGTTGGCTTGAAAGTCCCAGTAGAAGGTTCTTGGATAATCTTCACAGAGGCAGCTGGTGTATTGATAGTTAAAAGCACCTTCAATCGAAACGTTGCTTTTGAGGTAAGATTTAATCTGGGGAGGGGGGGAGGATCCAGTGTTAGACCGGGGATGGAGAAGGGAGAGAAAGACAAGAAAGGGTGGAGGAGGAGGAGGAGGAGGAGACCTCCTTAGTGGGTGAAAAGCGGGGATGGAGGTGGGCCAGAGACAAAGGGGGTCCTCTTCGGGAGTATCATTTCAGGAGCTTAGGTCTAGGTCAGAAATTTTCTGTCATCGTGTCCTCGAATTCCTGCTGTAGCAGGGTGGGTCTGGGGCTTGGGAGGGAAGAGGTCACAGGGCCCTGGGAGCTCATCCCGGGGTGGGGGTTCATCTGGGGAGCCGGGGAGCAGACCGCCTTGGTTCCCCAGCCGGGGCTTTGAGGAACTGGCCTGTGATCACAGCCTGGCTGCTTGGGTGTGGAAGACAATGCCAGGCCTTATTGCCAGACTGTGACCAAACCCCGGCTGAGCTCCTCTCAACCTTGGTGATTTTTGGTAATTAGTAGGTAGATTTTAAAAAGATCTCTTTATTTTATTGTACTAGCATTGTTCTTAAAACATAGTCTTATTAATCACAGCAGCAGAGAATTACATCTCATGTTGCTTTGTTGATTCAACACATTTTTTTTACACCTGTCACTTTCTAGGGGGTGAAAATAGGCTTTCGTTATCTATCACCACCAGAAACTACCATTATCACAAAACTTTTTTTTTTACATTTTTTTATTGATTCATAATCATTTTACAGTGTTGTGTCAAATTCCAGTGTTCAGCATGTTCAGCACAATTTTTCAGTCATTCATGGACATATACACACCATTATCACAAAACTTTTATGCCCACGTTCTGATTCCTTTTTTCATCTGTGGTTATGATAAACAAAACACAAAACTGAAAAATTGTGATTCTCCCTCCCACCCCAAATTAACATACATAGTTCATATTCTTGGACTGTAAACAGAAAACCTTGACAAAGCAGCTGTGTTATTCTTTGCTCAGTGATCAGAAATTTTCCTCTTACAGGTGTGGGGCCATTTCTAGAACGTAGTTTAATGAATAGCAATCCTCATGCTTCCAATTTTGTTTTTTGTTTAGTCGTTGTCTTTAAATATCATTTAAATTAGGAAACTCATGCTGTAGGAAGAGGAGGTGGGAGAGATGCGTGGGTCTTGGCCCTGGAACAGGGGTGGCCAACAAGGGGCAGGTCATGTGTCTGGGACAATATCTGAGATGTGCAGAAGGACACACTCTTCCCGGGGGGAGAGTTTCTGTGGGTTCAGTCCGCACGGGTCCCTTTCCACGTGGCCCAGAGCAATCAGACAAGAGCGAGTCTTACGTACATTATTATTTAAAATCTGATCTAGGTCAGGGTTGGGCCTCCCTCCCACAACTGCTGAACTGGAAGAAAGGGAGGAGGAGAGTGTCGTTTCCTTATCAGAGAGGGGAGGCTGGAACAAGGGTCAACTTCTGATGACAGAGCCAAAAAGCAGAGGATGAGTCAGGTAAGAGCCAGCACTGCTGGGAGCTTCCTGAAGAGGAGTTTCATGGTCTGCCCGTATCTCTTCTCCCCACCTGCCTCCACCTGCTGGAGAGGGTGGCAGTTTTTCATTCTGAGAACACTTCTCCCTTCACCTCAAACACTTGTCCCCAGTACCCTGGAGGAAGTCTTACAAATCCTGCCCCAGCTCTTACACTTTTTCTCTCTTCTCCTTCTTAACTGTGCTTTTCTCATTACCCATCCTTCCTTCTCCTCCCTCCGACACTTCTCTGGATCAGGGTTCCTTCATCTGTAAAATGAGAATAGTAGTCAGCCCTGAGCTCCCACGATCCTCCTGAGGCTCCAGGGGCACATGTGAGAATTGGGAATATGAGGATTGGGATTCACTGAACTGTTAATTGTAATACACAGTGTTAAAGTGAGAGGTCTACCTCACTGTACTCGTAATTAAGGAGTCAGATTTCTCTCAAGTTTGGGTCTCCCAGGCCTCTACTTACCACCATACATTCTCTGAATTGTGTGGCAGCTCTAAGAATCACAGTGACCTCTTCATTTGCCGTTGCCTTTTGGGGCAGCTCCACACCCATTATTATCGCCTTTCGACTGGTTTTGGGAAGAGAGAAGCAGGGCGAAGATCAGAGATCAGTTCACAGGACAGAGGGGTGGCAATGAGCAGGGTAGAGGGAGCACAGGGGGTGGATGGGGAAGAAGAGGATGGGAGGCGAATCAGCTACTGAGCATCAGAATCTCCTGAACTTTTGATTTTAGGTACTTCGGTACAGATTCGTTTTGCTTAGTAAAGCAACTTGGATTCTTTATTTAAAACTGAGCATTTTCTTTCCTTCCATTGATAAAAAATAAAGAAAGAGAAGAAAAGTACAATACCATACATCATTTCCTAATAAAACCTTACAGGTTCTGCTGATTGTCCACTGAGTGGGAGGGCTCAAGTCATCATTAGTAGAAAATTTCATATCAACAGAATCACATTAAACCATAAACATCTCAGTGGACTGGAGGAGTCCTAGGACCATTCTTGAAGGTCCTCCTCCTTTGGTTCCTGGTGAGGCCTAGGAATTTGTATTTCTTTAACCCTGTGGGGATTTGGACACATGGCCACATTTGAGAACTTCAGATACCACTCTCCATTCAGGCCGCACATCACAGTTTGGTAGGAAAAGGCAATGGAGGCAAAGAGCAGAGCCAAATATTTCTCTTCATTGAAGACTGGGTTTAGGACCAGGGGAGTAGTTTTCTCTTCCCCAGGACCTCCTGGCAAAACTCTTTTGGCTGGGACAAGGGGGGAACTCCGTTTCTTAACTTCTAGTGCTTAAAGCACCTGAGATTTCAGAGCGATTCCATCTCTTGTGCCAGCTGCTGTGGTGCTCAGTGCACAGGGAAGGGATGTGAAGATGTAAGTGCCTTCGAAATTCATCCCATATGTAAATGCGTTTGGGACTGATGGGATGACCAGTTTAGCTGGAGTGACTGATCATCCCAGTTTGCCCAGAAGTGAGGAGCTTCCTGGGATGAGGGGCTTTCAATGTTAAAACCAAGAAATTCCATGATAAATTGGGGTAGCTGGTCACCCTAATTAGCACAGTTTATTTCAACAACTTGCTGCCCTTCAGGGCTAAGTAGAGTGATATCTGTATCCGAACCTGTCCCAACTCAGTGTTTCTTGGGTCACCTGTCTCAGTTATACCAGCTTGTCAAAACCCTGGATGGTTTCTTCCAGGACAGGATATCTGGTCTCCCTACAAGGGAGTACCACCAGAATCACAATCCAGAAACCCAGCATTCCAAACCCTGTTCCTATAGAGGAAACTCCCTCAGTGGTCCTGCTCCTCCCTCTGGCTTCCTTCCTACTTCATTTTGCTTTCCTCAGTTTTCCTGCTTTTGTCAAACATGTACCCTTGATGAGCTAGCTTCTGAACCTGTGCTCCCAGGTCCCAGTGTTTGTAGGGGCAAGTGGTCCTTGGCTTCATCTTTGGGCTGCAGAATAGGAAGGATGTCTAAGCTGCTGGATTAGCTCAACCTCAGACCATGGGGCCAAGGATCAGTGACCATGGCCTCTAATCCTTCACTGAGTCCTGCCAAAGCTATTGTTTAAACTCACAGACCTGCTAACCTTCTGTTCTTGAGGGAAAGGTGTGAGAAGGTGAAGTTTACAGAGCAGAAGTCTAACAAAGGTGTTGATTATGTACAGAATGTGGATCAAAGCTTTAGAGCAAGACTAATTGTTAATCACAGCCTATATGTACACTGGGAGCCTTATTTCCATGGGCAATGGAGAGGCACCCAGTAGAAGTATGAGGGGCATTGATGGTGCTCCCTAAGAGGAGAGAAGTAGGACTCAGCATGGGGTTCATGACAGCTCCTGGGACTAGAGTTCTGGGAAGCTAAAGTTTTCAAGAAGAAATAGGCAGATTTCTAGGCTAGGAGAGGAGCCCTCCTTGAAAGGTTTTTTTTTTGTGAAAAGAAAGGCTTGGCTCACGTGTCTTCCTGAGCTTCATTGGTCCCCAGCTGCAGGCAGAGAATCAGGAGCAGGGCAGCAGGGCTGACCCTGAGCAGGAGATGGAGACAGCGCATGCTGGAGGAAGCAGAATGTGACGGTGTCCTAGGGAAGTCGGATCCTAGGTGCTTAGCACACTCTTTATACTCAGATCAAGGAAGTGGGAGAGCTGCCAAGCAGATCCATGTTGTCAGTCACGCAATTACCCTTTCCACTCGGTCTTTCCTTGTTGAGCTAAAGTTTGTTTTCCTATGGAAAAAGTAAACATTCAGCTAGGGTGTTAGTCTGAGAGAGGAGTTAGGTTAGCCCTCCTCATTTTGTCAGTATAGGAGTTTCTCAGAATGGCCAGGACCTCAAAAGATATACCAGCTCTTCCCTAGTTTACAGAAATGTTTTTCCTCCTCATCATTATATGCCTGTCTATCCTGCTATATGTAGCCTTAGCTTCAGTCACTGATCCCTTCTTTGGAGCCAAAGAACCAGCTGTGGTAGCACACTTGAGGTCACAGCTCTAGGACAAGTTTGCTTGATCTCCTTACAGTAAATTCAAGAAGACACATTGTTCAAATGATTTCTTAGAGAGCTAGGGTGATCAGGGCTTCCCCAAGGGCCACCACCAATCATCTGGGGGCAGAACTAGAGACGGGCTGCTCTGAATGATGGAAGAGTGAGGCCATAGTACTGGGTGACATGAAGATGTTTGTGATTGTTGAGTCCTTCTTAACTTCAGGGGTAATGACAGTGACCTACAGATGCCCAAGATCCCCAGCTTCCTCAGAGTCCCCAGTGCAGGGCAATATTCTAACCCTAGACAATTCCTCTAAATAGCTGGCATTCCCAAATCAGACACCTTGGCACCAAAGATTCTGCTTATGTCATATAGCCGCTTTCTTGTACTTGTCTTACAGCACAAGGTGCATAGGAAGACCCGCAATGGGAAGGATTGTCTCCATTAGAACAGAACCCAAACAGTATCCAGGAGCTTTCTCTAGCCTTGGAATGAGAGGATTCTCTTCCTGTGGATGAGAGGGAGACTGGCTCTTGCTGACACTGGCATTGTTATACTTTTCTGTATTCAATTAAATCTATTCTTTAACCTATGATATATGACACTGTGGAATTTGTTCCTATCCTTTGTGTGACAGATGGCAACGCAGGAAGATTCTCTCTGGCATGAAAGTGAAAATCAGGGTTCTGGGAGTTACCTATGTGTATTTCTACAGCCAGATTTCAAGTTAAAGTCTAAATATATGCCTCTGTTTCTGAATGTATCCTTATAAATTACTCTGCCTGCTCATTCTACTCCTGTATTTCCCTACTCATTCCTGTGAACTTGACATTGTTTATGCTATTCCTCACTTAGGATTTCAGCTATTATTGTGATCCCATGTGATCCCATATTTTCTTATTTCCGTTCTATGTACTCAAATACAATGCTTCATTCCACTTCACCCTGGCCACAGTGGACCTCCTTTATAGATGCTCTCCAACATTGTAATTTTCTTCACACTCGCTCCTTACTTGATAATTTCCTTCAGACGGACATACTAGCTGAGATCAATGAAGAAGTAAGGCAAAAGAATCCAGGAAGTGTCCATGTGGGAAAATCCAGGAGGAGCCCTTTCCTGAGGTTTAATTCCCTTTGAAGGCGCTGTTCCATCCTTGAGGACTTAACCTCTGCCATACTCCCAACAAGGCAGTGCTCCAAAAGGGGCAGCTGACCGTGGGTTGAGAGAAATTATTGAATCTACATTCTCCTTCCCATAGACCAACAGGAAACTACAATATTTAGAACCTTCAGTGCACATGACAAATCTTATATCCTATGCAGGTCATGGCTAGTTCAGTGGTTTATTTTTGTATGTCAACCTGGCTAAACCTAGTTTTCAGTTAAATGCCAGTCTAGATGTCACTATGAAGGTATTTTTAAATCAATAGACATTGAGTAAAGCTGATTACCCTCCATATTGTGGGTGGGTCTCATCCAATCAGTTGAAAGCCTTAAGAGAAAGGACTGCTGTCCCACAAGGAAGAGGAAACTGCCTCCAGAATGCCTTCAGACCTGATCTGCAACACGAACTCTTCCCTGGGTCTTCAGTGTGCTGGACTGCCCTGCAACTTTTGAGCTGGTCAGTCTCTACAATTACATGAGTCAATTCCTTAAGAAATCTCTCTCTTTATATGTATATATACACACCTGATTGGTTCTGTTTCTCTTTTGAGAACCCTAATACAGCTGGTGCTTGGAAAGGAACAATACGTGTTGAGAGGGTCGGAATTCATACTGGTTGAAAGTATATTTGAAACCTTGGGGTGAAAGCAGGTTTTAAACCCATGACACAGGAGACAGTTCACATGGGAAGGGCAGACGAGGAGCAGAGAAGATACCCTGTGTAGGCACATCGTGCTGAATTCTCAGTGCCATTTTGCTGGGCTTCAGGATGTTTCAGTGTCACTTTAATATGTGGTGAAGTCCTGAGATATAAGACAGATTATTGCCTATTGAACATAATTTTGAAAGGTACTGCATAATGATATTTACCTCTATTTTCATTAAAAAAATTTTTTTTAAGTGATAGTCACATCTTGGTCAAAGATGTCATGAAAAATGATGGCCACGGAATAATGGAACATGGTGAGGATGGCTTAAGGGCCAGTGTGAATGACCATAATCTGCCTTTCACTCCATCATGTATGTTTGATTACAGGGCTCCTGGCTATGCTAGCCTGATTTGAATGTTTACAGACAATTGGTTAGTAATTCTGACTTAAACAACAATGTATATTTATCTTAGAAAGTGATGTGGTTTGAGAACCATTAAGCCAGTTAATCATCACAATCTCATTTTCTCAGCACCCAAACTGCATGGAAAATCAGGGCAGAGATGAACAATACCAGGCAAACCTTGCAGCAGGGTGTTACCTTATACATTTTCACTGGATTTAGCTTAAAATCAGGAACTGGGCAAATACGTCAGGCAAAAGTCCGTATGTCCCAACTCTGGTCCACAGTTGACACAGAGGTATTAGTATTCATGGGGCTGAAAATAACTGAAAAGATCAATATTTCATGGGCAAGATAGAATCTAAGTAGCTACCACAGTTCTGCAGATGGTATGTATGAGTGTTTTCCAAATGTTATTTATGACAAAAATTTGAGGATACATTATCTTCGTCCTCATGTTCTTGCTTAGAAAACCAATCTAGCAGATGGCTCCTAAAGGGGAAAAAATGAAACCAAAATTGTCATGTCCTTTAAGTAATGACCAAGTCTAGTGGGTTTAAGAAACCGGATAGAGGTCAATAAAACCAGATTGTAAACAACTCAGGAGGCTGGTAGCAGATGTGCGCAGGTGCACCGGGAAAGGATTAAGGACTAGGGAGAAGCTTGCCACAGGCTAAATTTGCAAAGAGAAAGGTAACCCAGGGCCTGACAGGATTCATGAAAAAGGAAGTTAAGGGGTGACCAAAAAAGGGGGTTATAGAAGTCAGCACACATCGAGCACATACTATGTGCATGGCATTGTGCTAAATAGCTCACATATATTAACCCACTTAATTGTCACAACAACCCCATGAAGTTTCTAGTTTTATCCCATTTTACAAATAGCAGATAAATAAATGGAGCCCAAGTCACACAGCCAGCAGCTGGTGGAGCCAAATTTAGATCCAGATTGTCTGGACTCTGAAAGCTTTGCTTTGCAATATTGAGAACCTCTTTCAGGAACAGAATACAAACTTGCCAGTAGGAAATGCAGGCCCTTGGAAGAGGCTGTCAGTGAGGGGTCCCGAGTCTTCACATCGTTAACTTTGTTGTGAGATCAGCTTTGGGTGGAGCCAGAATTTGAACACAGGCCATCTGTTTCTAAAACCTGGGCTTTTAATGATTCTACTGCCTATTGGTGAGTCCAAGGCCCCAGTGAGGCCTCCCAGATACTAACGGGGGGGCCCAGAGAGGGGAGATGCAGACCCACCATCGCATACGTTTTGCCTTCTCTGACGGATCATTCTAGGGTGTTTCCCCACAAAGGTGAACAATCTCAGCATTCATCTTGTCCATCTGTCTACCCATCATCCCCCTAATCCTTCAGATAATCCATTGGACAAATATGGATTAAGCACCTATCATCACAGAGGGGTTTAGGTTCTGGGCGTGCAGAGATGGGCAGGACAGAGTATAATGGGGAGGCAGTCAAAACAACACATTTAATGGGCCGTGATTGGCATTGTCATAATTGTTTCTGTTTATTGAGGACTACTGAGTATTTTGCAGGGTTAAATGTTGCCAGCAGCCTTGGGACCTATTTCTGTCTGTCCATACATTTTCAAAAGCATCCAAACACAACATACCTGAGAACAATGAACTACGAATTTGATTAAAAAGTTTTAAAAAATATCATAGATCTTGACTGCAGTTATTCTCTTAGGGGGGATGGAGAATTTCTATACATTGTATTCCACGGGCTCCTTTCTTAATGTCTTCCTCCATCCCCACATTTCTCTCTTATTGATGGTTTCTAGAGATTTCCCCTTGTTCCTCACCTGTGTTGTGTGCCCCCCACCATGGTGCTCCCTTGTTTTTATCGCCTTTTTGTACACCGAGCACTTGGACGTACGAGCCTCCCTCCCACTGTGAAAGACCTCGGAAGTAGAGTTCAGTTCTCTTTGTCTCCTTTCTCATGAGAATCACATACCCTGGAATTACTGTGCATAGCTTTTTCAAATACCAAAAACAACAGGAAGAACAAATACTTACTGAGCATTTCCTGTCAGACTCTATTCTAAGTGCTGAACGTAATTAATTCACCTATTCCTTAAACAATCATATAATTTAAGTATTATCCCCATTTCATGGATGAGGAGTTTGAGGTCTAGAGAAACAAAGTAACTTGCTCAAGGTTGCAGAGTTAGTAACTGACAGCATGGGGGTTCAGAATTATGTTGTCTGATACCAGAGTCTAAGTCCTTAAGCACATTTACTGTCTCTTAGTGTAACAACATTACAGTTGAGGAAAGGAAACTCAACAGAGTTTCAATAACTTGTTCAAGTCACACACCCAACAAATAAAAAAGGTGATATTCAAACCAAGACAGAAGCAAACCCAGAGCTGA